TGTGTAGAGGAGGAGGGACGCCTGTTCCAGAGGGAAGTGACAATTTTCAAGACATTTCAATGTGATCTTTTTTCTTTTTCTCTCTCTTTTTAAAGTTTTTATGTAATTTCTACGCCCAATATAGGGCTTGAACTCACAACCCAAGATTAAGAGTCACATGTTCCACCAACTGAGCAAGCCAGGCATCCCTCAATCTGATTTTTCTTAAGGGAAATATTGTTGTACTAAACTTTTGTTGGGAGGGTAAGACATAAGATATTCAAATATTTCTGTGACGATAAGATTTGTCCGCAGGTCTAAGTATGCTTCTCAATGAAAATGACAAGAATTTATAGAAACAAGGCCCTTGGAGATAGAAGGATCTGGGCTTCCACTCCAAGGATTAACCACTGACCTTGAAATGGTTTCCCTCCATCTCCCTCTTGTCATGCAAATCAGGATGAACAATAGTACTGCCACAGGCATGTTAGGAGGCTTAAATGAAGTAATGCACATACCTGACACTCAAAAAAAAAAAAAAATGACCCCCTGGGGAAGGACAGGTTAGAGAATGATAATGATAGTGATGAAAGGCTCAAGGAGAACTGGGAGCTGCTGACTCAACCCCTACAAAAGCAGCCACGGTTTGTATACAGACCTTCCTCAGCTTATGATGGGGTTATGTCCCATATGACCCATCATTAAGTTTCAAATATCCTAAAATGCATTTAGTTCCCCTCACCTCCTGAACACTATAGCTTAGCCTAGCTTCACTGCAACTTGCCCAGAACATTTATATAAGCCTACAGTCACGCAAAATCATTGGACACAAATCCTATTTCACATCCAAGTGTTGATGAGCTCAGGTAATTGACCGAATATTGCACTGAAAGTGACCAGCACAATGGCTGTCCCTGTACCACCTGTTCACCCCCGTGATCGGTATCTGACCAGATGCTGCAGCCCCAGCCGGGCATCAGGACGGAGGATCCACTGCATAGCGTCCAGCCCAGAAGAAAAGCCTGATTCACAATTCAGATTATGGTTCACACTCTCACCATCATTTTCTGCACCATCATAAAGTCGAAAAGGTGTGTATCGAACCACTGTGCTGAACCGGGGGCAGAGGTGATGGAAAGAGGCAACAGTATCAGGGCTTCTTCTGGGTTTTAGTTGTACAAACTCTCACTCTGGTTCACAGGAGACTCTGGATCTTTTCCCAGTTCAGCACCCACCCATCCTATCATTCAATTCTCCCTCTGGCTCCCAAAGCAGAGGTACGTCAGTGGCACCTGCAGCCACAGAAGGGATTATTTCTGAATCCCTTCCTGACCCCAGAGGAACTCATTTACAGGGGCTCAGAATGCTTCTGAGCACTGCCTGTGGGTATGTAGCAAGCAGTACCATGGAAATTGAGGAGAACAAAAGGGTGACATAGCTGTCTAAGGGCCACAACGCTGCATTCAGAGCAAAAGAAGATGAGAGTCACCCACATCCAGCTCCGATCATCAGTGTCAAGTAGGCCACAGCTCTCCCTGCCCTTCCGTACAGCTGTGGGGTGATGGGGAAAACAAGGGCCAGAGAGAAACAACTCCCCCAACTCCTCCAGCTGCCTATCAGTTATACTCTTTCACCTCTCCCTCCTCTGCCTCTGCTTCTTGTTCAGACTCCAGCTGGATCCATTTGGTGAATTAATGACCGTGCTGGTCAAGGTTGATCAAATAAATACAATAGCAGTAGCTGGTATCTACTTAGTGCTGGTCACTCTGTACTCTCCCCAACACATGTCATTTCATCCTAACCAAAATCCTAGACAGCAGGTACCAATATCATAACCAATGATTCTTGAAGGAGCAGTTTGCTCAAGGACTTATGAAACAGAGGACCAGGACTGAAACCAAAGCAGTGGGAACCCCCAGCCCCTCCTGCACTACCCCGCCTCCAAACGCGTTCCAGGGCTTGGACATATGCTCCCTACCACAGGGGTTTGGTTGTAAACATAGCCCTGAGGCTTCAGTGCTAGAACTGGATCTTGCCCTGTGTCTGGGTCATTTTCCGAAAGTTTGGGTAACGAAACTTTGTTTCATATTTGGAGGAACTTCGGAAGATTTATGTTTGTTTTTTCTTGTTTTTCTGAGTTCCCAGGGCCATGAAAAGCCAGGCAGGCCAGGAAGCACCTCCCTGCACCCCAGGGGGCAGCATCATGGGACTCCGCAGGATGCATGAGGGCCCCCTCTGGCCTCTTCTGACTTGTCCATAGGAAAGGAAGTGCCAAAGGGCATGACAAGGGCAAGTTATACAACAACTTGACTTTAACCCCCGTGTCATTCCAGGCTGAAACTCCCGGCCAAGTCAGCTAGATTCATTATCTATACTGCAATTATTAAGCATTTACATGGGGGAGGGCACTCAAATGAGAGCACAGGGCCACCTTTTAGTTTTTGGTTTAGATGTGACAACACCTTTATTGACACAGCCACGCTCGGCTACTTCAAAGTCTCAAGATTAAACATTGCTTAAGCAACTTCACATTCTTGAATGAAGGACCAAATCTGGAAGGGCAGGTTCATCTCTAGATAGTATTTCAAAATTAGCAGAAGGCCAATGTCCTGTAAGGAAAAATCTGTCCCACCTTCAGGGAGTATGAATCAGCAAGTGTAGCCTCAGTGGTCACTCTGATGCAGGTGGTCTCTGGACCACATTTTAAGCAACACTAAAAGGTAACGTCTAACTAACCTTGTGACAGGTATTTCATTCCACTTTCCATTTCTTCTGAATTTATCTTCCATTTCATCTCAGCCCTGAAGGTAAATTCTTTATAGGCAGGGATTCTGTACCATTGTGCCTAGATTGGGAAAATGCCTGCTGACCAGAGCTGAACACCCCCCAAGCCCTAGGAAGCCTCTCCATGCTGTTTTCATTTCCCAAATTTCTGAAATCTCTCTGGGGAGGTCGTGATCCTCTCTCTAGGACTTGAGTGTGAGCAACAATGTTCCTGTCTGCTCCCATAATTAATGGAGCTGGGCAGGCAGCCCAACCATCAGGATGGCACATTTCTCTCAATTGCTGGGCTCTAAGGTCACTAGCCAAGCTCTACTCCATTTCCTTGGGCTGGAGTGGGCCAAGAAAACCCAGTCAAGTACATCAGAGTGAAGCCGTGGGAAGGCAGCCAAATCCCATGGGGGGGGGGGGGCAGGAGTTTACTTCACTACTCCTGCTCCTGGCCCAAATCCAGCATGGCAATGCCGTGCTCCTTCTGCACCTTGCAAATTAGGAAAAGGCTCTGTCATCTATGGGTCTGTGTCCTTTTACAGAAGAGAAAACTAATGTTAAAAGAACACGTGCTAAAGGAGTACTTTCCCGGTCCCATGGCCAACAGTAATCTCATTCAAGTGACCTTGGGATCAAAACTGGCAAAGCCAACCTGGAAGTCCACATGAAGCTTTGCAGCAGAGAGGTACCAAATTCACTCAATGTGCAGAATGTTCTGTGGCTGGCCAAGAAAAGAATTTACAGAAAAGTACATAATATTCTAGTATTTGCAGGGCAGAGAGGGAAAGCAATATATGTAAGCATTAGCTGGCATCTGATGGAATTCCTTCAGAAAGGCCAGAAGACACTGAGTAATTACTGGTTTTCCTCCAGGAGATATCCTGCGCAGCAAGCGTTGAGTGTCAGGTATTTCATTGCTTTATGGAGGGGCGGGGGGGGGGGGGAACCTTCTGGTTTTTTAATGTGATTACCTACTCGAATTACATTTTTTAAGATCAATTTTCAAACATTCATTTTAATTTTTATTTAGCAATATGCCAGGCCCTAGGGTAGTTGTTTTTTCTTAAGAACTGGATAGAGAGGAAGGAACAGATAATGAGGTAAATCATTACCTTGCCTGCTGGGGGTGGGGGTGTGGCACAGGGAGAGGCCAGTGGCCTTGCTGGGATGGAAAAGTGGAGAACCAGGTAAGATTTAACCAGATTAAGATTTCCTCCAGGAACTTTTTGGGCCATGTCTAAGAGTAAGACAAAGTAAGACAAGTCATTAGGCCCATTCCTAGTGGGGCAGCACTCCACGAAGCCTGAACTGTGATGAGTGTCCGGCCACAGAAAAACGCAAGCTAAAAGGACACAACTCTGAACTATTCTATACCAGTCCTTCGGATGTGCGAAAAAAGTGCGCAACAATGGGGAAATGACCGAAAATATCAGAGGCTATTATTATATTCCACTTCCTCCCACCCACCTGGCCCCACTTTCCTCTACACTCACCCAACACACCAGAGTAGCAAAGTTTGATAAAGGGCACTAAAAAGGCTGACATTTACAAAGTGCTCAGAAGAGCGCCGTCACAAAGCGCTTGTATAAATGTCAGAAGTCAAATAAAGCCCAGCGGAGACGGGAAGCCTCCCAACAGCCCTCCAGAGAATTCCCAACGCCCCTGGACTACTCCGTGAGTCGGGCCTGCTGGAACTTGAATTTTCTTATCTACATAATCTTTCTACGATACAGGACTCTCAGAGGTGGGGCGAAACCTGCACTTGGAAGGACAGCAACGGTCCCGTACACCACCTGGGTGGCAAGAGCCATTTAGCCCTTCTTTGATTCGGTTTCCTCAATACCGAAACGACGGCAAAAATGCTCGAGTCTCCACCGATTCCTCGACCCAGGCGATCCGCCCAGAACCGAGAACGCTCTTAGAATGGTGCGCAAAACACCCGGGCGTGGCGAGCAGGTGGCCTCCGTGCGCCCGCCGCGCGGTGAGAGCGCAGACAGGTGCCCGCGGACGCGCAGTACCCTCTCGCCTTGCTGCCCTCCGCGGGCACGCGGGCCCAGGGCCTCCCGGGCTAGTGTCTCGGCGCGGCCTCCCCGGGTGCGCGGTGCCCAGCCCAGCCGCGAGGCCACCCGCCCCGCCTCCCTGCGCGCGGTGCCCGGTGCCCACGCTGCGGAGGGGACGCGCGGCCCTAGCCCGCCCGGGAGAGGGCTTCCTGGAGGCGGAGCCCGCGCCGCCGGCCCGCCGCCGCTCACCAGTTCCCCGAGCCCACGATGCACACTTTCAGCGGCGCCGCTGCCATGGCCAGGATGGAACGCACCAGCCCGAGCCGTGCCTCCCCAGCCGGCAGCCTGCCTGCCTCCGCGCGCCTGGCTTTGCCCACAGCGGCTCGCGGGGGCCCCGCCCCTCCCGCCTCTCCGCCAATGGCCGCGACCACCGCCGCCCGGGCGCCCCGGGCCCCAGCTGACAGCCTCGGAGGACCCGCCCCGCCACTCCCGAGAACCACTGCGCACGCCTGAGCCTGGCTGGTCCCGGGGCCCGGCTCCTGCGCCGGCCCGCCCCTGTCTGAGGCATGCCGGGACTTGTAGTCCGCGCCCCCGCCGCCCCCGCCATCCCCGCCGCCGCGCGCCCCTGAATAGCTGCTGCTGCCGCGCCACGTGCACCCGCGGGTGGTTGCGCAGCTGCTCTCTCTTAGTGCCCGCCGCTGCACCGCTGTCCCCGCGGAACAGGCCTGCTCCGGCTCGTCGTGGTGCCCACTCCCACTCGCACCCTTCTCCCCACGCAGGAAGAGCTGCCACACTGCAGTCTGGAGCCGAGAGAGGGTCTCAGGTTGACTCTGGAGTCGACTCGACTTGGGCCGAAGCTCAAAGTACCCGCACCTGCCTCATTTGTGGAAACAGGAGACAGTCTGGCACCCCTTGAACCTCGTGGTGAATTTGTGTTTTCCGAGGCATTCTGGACGTAGCTGGACAGTACCTGAGCTTCGGGGTGGACACTTTCGAGTCAAGAGAGAGACCTGGACGCCGGCGGCATCGCACTATCTCCCCTCTCCGCCCCCCCTTGCCTCCTCGTTGTCTTTGTCCAGGGCGCCTGGAGAGTTTGTGGTGCGGACATTAGAGACTGTGCTTCTCCTTCCTGACAAATAGAACATTATTTATAAATTCTGAGCGTCACTTTCCACCAGGCACCGTACTAGACACCGTGGGAAGAGGACAAAATGGCTTAGGACTGTGGCTCACAAATTCTGCCGCATATGAGTCCCTGGAGTTTTTAAAAATCCCCAGGCCCCAGCACCACCCTGGATCATCAGAATCTCCTGGGGACACAAACATCAGAGTTTTTTTAAGTTCAGGAGGTGATTGCCAAAGGCAGTTAAAGATGAGCACCAAAAAGCTACAACAGCAGCGGTGACTGGCTGAAGATCCCTAGGAAAGTACCAGGCCTATTAGTCTGATGTTCAGAGGATTAACAATTAGTTTAGTTTTCATCTTTACATTGTAGGAAAGATGTATCCATAATACTTAAGCTAAATGCTTAAAGGGGTGAATGAGACAGATTTTCTCTATTCCTTCGCTGATGGTTTGCTCTCACTTCTTTGCACTAATGGGAAGACATCTAGGCAGGAAGATGATGCGAAAGATGGACTTTTCAAGCTTTATTAGTTTTTTCTTGCTAGGATTTTTTTTTTTAAGATTTTATTTATTTGAGAGAGAGAGAGTGAGAGAGCGTGAGAGTGAGGTGAGGGGCAGAGGGAGAAGCAGAGTCCCCACTGAGCAGGAAGCAGGATGTGGACTTGATCCTGGGATAATGATCTGAGCTTAAGGCAGAGGCTTAACGGAGTGAGCCAGCCAGATACCCAGAAAATTTTTTTCTTAGAAAATGAGGTTGTCAGGGGGCCCCTGGGTGGCTCAGTGGGTTAAGCCTCTGCCTTCGGCTGGGGTCGTGATCTTGGGGTCCTGGGATTGAGCCCCGCATTGGGCTCTCTGCTCGGCGGGAAGCCTACTTACCTCCCCTCTCTCTGCCTGCCTCTGCCTACTTATGATCTCTGTCTGTCAAATAAATAAATAAAATCTTTTTAAAAAATGACGTTGTCAGATTAAATAATGAATTTATGGACTTAGGGAGTATCTGAGTATTGCAAAGATTTATCCCAAGTGATACAGTTTTTGCCTTTGCCTGAAAGTTTTGTACCTCATCTGGAAACTCCTGATCTCCAGTGTGACAAAGACACCTGCATGGTAATGAGCTGTCGGCAATTCTGTGGACATACCCCACAAAGCATTATCACACAGTGTTTACTGATCACCCAATATGCACAACACGTTGTGCCAGAACATAATAAGTTATAATTCTTTTATAGATTGGTTACAAGGATTAAGACAAAAACAAAGTAGGTGAAACCCATGAACATAATGTTGAGAGAACAAAGCAAAGTGGAAGAGATGGCATGCAGTATAATTCCTCATCTGTTACTACAGAAACAAGCAAAATTAAATATATCAATAGGGATATACCCACGTGGAATAAAACTGTGAAGGAAAACAAGGGGAAGATAAACAAAAAGCAGGATTGTGTTTATGGTGGAGGGGAGGGTTGGTTATTCTTTATAACATTTGCCTGTGTTATAAACATGTTTTAATATATATGTAATGAAAATCATAGGAGCAAAGAGAAGGGACAGTACAGAAGACTGAGGAAAGCCAATTTTGAGGGAGCTGGTCTTCTGACCTGCTTCTGGTCATCTAAGATGGCAGTGCTGACATTGTTGGCCTTCTTTGTGTCACTTTCCCTAACAGGAGGGAGCAGCCTATAAGGCTGGAGTTAGCCTCTCATTGGGCCAGGGCCGACACTTCGAGGACCTGGAGAAGCTGTAGTTTGTATATGATTTTGTACAGGGACGCACGCAATGTGTCTGAGAACATGACTAGGGTATACAGGTATCATGGTAAAAACTGGCTGCACAGCTAGAAGAAGCCAGGCAGCCCTTTGCAAACAGCCCAGAAAAGTCCTTAGCTAGGTCACCGAGTTCGTGAAATACACTTTCTATTTTCTGCATTACAGGAGGCAATGGCAACAGTATTGCCAAACTTCTCTATGTAACTAGACTCTCCTTTAGCTCCAGGTAACATTTTCCCCAGCTCTGTTAAGCCCTCCCCACCAACATCCTACCCTCCCGCCGGCCTTTCTGACGTCCACCACCTGCCAGGTCCCACAGCCAAAGCCAATGCTGCTCGCTGTGTGGCAGCCGCCTCCCACTTGTGGGTAGCAAAATCTGCTCTGGTTATCACCTGTTGCATAACAAACCGCCCCCGAACTTAGATTTAAAACAACCATGTTCAATTATTTAGCCCCAGAATCAGCAGCTTAGGCCAGTCCCAGAGAGGAGGGGTCCCCCCAGCACGGGGAAGAACGTTCCACAGGGCTGGAGGATCCACTTCCAAGATGGCCCATTCATTGGGCTGGCTAGTTGGTGATGACTGCTGGCTGCGAGCCTCAGCTGTGGGCTGCAGTCTGGCAGGCCTGAGTCTTCTCTGTGAGGGCCTCCCCAGAAGCAGCTTCCCCATTGTCTGGTTCCACCAGCAAGCATCCTGAGAGAAACGAAATGGAAATCACTGGTTTCTTAAGATCTGAACCTCCCTAATTATCACAGCATCACTTCTGTCATGATCTTTTGGTCAAGACAACACAGGACCCAAATTCTAGGAGGAAGGGATACATAATGAATTTTTACCGTTAAGCCAGATTATAAAATGTTATTAAAATCACAAGAGAAAATACCATTTATGGTATTGTATGTATATTTATTGAAAAAAATCCATGTATCAGTGGACCTGTTCTGTTCCAACCCATGCATTTTTTCAATAAATACAGTACAGTACAAAAATGGATTTCCTCTTCCTTATGATTTTCTTAGTAACATTTTCCTTTACTTTGTTGTAAGAATGCAGCGTATAATACGTATTTAATACAAAATATGTTAATTGACTGTTTATGTGATCAGTAAGGCTTCTAGTCAACTAGGCTATTAGTAATTAAGTTTGGAGGGAGTCAGAAGTTATATAAGAATCTTCAATTATGGGGGGTGGTTAGTACCTGCAACACCTGCTTGTTCAAGGGCCAAGTGCATATATTCATATTACAAGTGAGGAAATTGAGGTGCAGACTCAAAAAGAAGGACTTTATAAATGTCCTATGGGGAGTCAGGGCCAGACTTTTTGGATTCCATACCTTATACTCACCCGATTATGCATTCATTCAACACATATTTACTGAGCACCTATTATGTGCCAGTCACTGTGCTGAATCCCAGGGATTAAATATTGGATAAGAAAGTCAATGTCCCTTTCCACTTTTCTTTAAATTTAAATTTTATTTTATTTATTATATTTTTTTAAATTTTATTCTTTAAAAAAGATTTTATTTATTTGAGAGAGGGACACAGAGTGAGCATGATCAGGGAGAAGGGGCAGAAGGAGAAGCAGACTCCCCATTGAGCAGGGAGCCTGGCACAGGACTCCATCCCAGGACCCTGGCATCATGACCTGAGCTGAAGGCAGACTCTTAACCAGCTGAGCCACCTAGGTGCCCTTGGGTCCTTTCCCTCTTAGATGCTTAAACTTAAAAGGAGGGGCACCTGGGTGGCTCAGTATTTAAGCATCTGCCTTCACCTCAGGTCATGATCCCAGTGTCCTGGGATCAAGCCCTGCTTGGCAGGAAGCTGCTTCTCCCTCTCCCACTCCCCCTGCTTGTGTTTCCTCTCTCACTGTGCCTCTCTCTGACAAAGAAATAAAATATTTTAAAAAATAATAAATTTAAAAGGAGATAGAGACCAATGGACAGATAATTACCCAATGGTGTGGTAAATGCTACTGGTTTACTCTGGCATCCCAGGAAAAAAAAAAAAAAACAAACCCTGTCCCAGATTATGAGTTTCTGGGAAGGCTTCCCAGATAAAGTAAGATCTCTATTAAAGCCTGAAGGAAAAGGTAATGTCAGCAAGGTGAGGAGACAGGAGTGCACAAGTGAGCTCTTTTAGGCAGAGGGAACAACCTAGGCAAAGACTCAGAGACCAAAGAGAGTAAAATGTGCAGAAACTAAAAGAAATTCAGTATGGTTGGGGGAGAGAATGAATCACCAGCCTGTGTCATAGGAAGAGTCCTCAGATGAATTCATTCACAGGAGGAGGGCCAGGAGGCAGAGGCCAGGGAAGAGCCTGCTGCGGTATTTATTCTATATGAGAAGTGGCTGTGGGTTAGACTAGGATGAAGACCAGTGTGGTGGTGATGGCAAAGGGAGAAGTGGGTCAAACTGAGACATACCTAGGAAAAAGAAAAATGAGACTTACTACTTTCTTGAAAGAGGTAGGCATCCAGGATGACTCTAGCTTTCAGGCTTGGGCAAATTAATGAATATAATTTGCTGAAACAAGGAGAGAGGACTAGATCTGGAGAGAAGGATGATGAGCTCTGAGCAAATTAA